CTCCCAATCATGAGTTTTATAAATGTATATATATATATATGTATATACACACACACACACACACACACACACACACACATATATGTGATCTCAGCAACAATCAGAAGCCCCAAGTAGGCAGATGGGGACACAGGCATGTGTGAAGTGAGACTCTATCCTAAAAATAACCAGTGAAAAACAGAGCATAGACATACATGAGGGTCTTGAACTCAGGGTGTGGATGCTATTCCTGAACTTTTGTGCTCAAGGCTAGCAGACTAGCAGCCTACCACTTAGACCACAGCTCCACTTCTGTGTGTGTGTGTGTGTGTGTGTGTGTGTAGTATGTGTATGTTTAGTTGGAGATAAGAGTCTCACAGACTTTCCTACCTTGGCTGGCTTCTAACTGCAATGCTCAGATATCAGTTTCTGAGTAGCTAGGATTATAGGCATAAGCCACCAACACCCGGCATTATGAATATATATTTTAACTTTTTATGTTGTGATGCTGGGGCTTGATCTCAAGGCTTTGTGCTTGCTAGACAGGTGTTCTAATCCCAGGCCAGTATTTTTAACTTTTGAGAGTTGGATAGTTAATAAATGCTTTTGCACTATTTATTTTGCTAATTGTGAGGCCTTCTAGTATTTTTTCACATACTTACCATTTGCTTTTCATTTGTGAATGATCTGTTCAGGTTCCTATCTTTTATCCATTGTTGTACTGACTTTCTCTTTTGTTGGTCTGCAGGAGTGTTTTGTGACTATGGATATGTCTTTCGTTGTGCACATGAGAAAGGCCAGGGTCTTTTTCCTCTCCTTTCATCTCAGGAGGTTAATCCCTGGAGGCTGCATTTCTTCCATGGCTCATCACCCTCCGGGGGGCTTCTCCTTTTGCTGAGTAACCACACAGCTTCTGCCCTGAGAATCATGTAAACTGATCTAGTTTCCTAAACTGTAATGGAGACAGAACCTGCTCACATCATACAGTTGGTTCAAGAATGAAATTAAAGAAGAGAAAAACTAGAATAACATCAAAGAAAGTAATTAAAATTTACAATGGCTGAGGTGCTAGACAAACAAGTAATTTAAGGATATGCAAATAAGTGATCTGATATAGTAGGAAAACAATGGGACTGGGAATGATAACATTTGGGGGGACCATACTGGATGGTTTGAACTCCTGGTTGCTACTCTGGTGTCATACCACTGAGCCATGCCTCCAGCTGTTTTTCATTGGTTGTTTTTAGGAGTCTCACTTCACGCGTGCCTGTGTCCCCATCTGCCTACTAGATAGAGGCTTCTGATTGTTGCTGAGATCACAGGTGCATACCATCATGTCCCAGTTCCTTTTGTGGAGATGGAATCTCATGGACTTTTCACCTAGGTTGGCCTAACACTGTGATCCCCTCAATCTCAGCCTCCCACATAATTTGCAATGGCAGGTGCACCCCACTGTACCCAGATATGAGATGGGAAGAAATCTAATAAACTTTTCTGCCAGACTGGCCTTAAATGATGATTCTCCCACTCTCAACCTTCCAAGTAGCTAGACTTACAGGTATGAGCCTGCAGTGCCCAGCTGGGAATCAAGGCTCTTGTTTCAGAACCTGGTTTTGTCATGAATTCTCACCTTATCCATGTAACACTGTGTTTTTATTTTCCTCATCTGAAAATTGGAGATGAGGGCACATACTGTAGTAGCTGCTGAATGGCATGAAAGGAGAGCATTTGTGAAATGTTTCCTGTCAAATGTGAACCACTACACAAATAGTAAAGGAATTGACTAGTAAGAAGCAGAAAAACTTTATTTCTATCAAATGGAGAAGTACAAATCAGTCTTCAGGCAAGATAAGCAAAATAACCAATAATACAATTAATTATCAGCTAGGGTAGGACACACACACAAAACAGATAACTGGTTTTGATATTTTGAATTAAGCACACAGACCCAAATCAAGAGGGCTGACAGCTGTGGCACAGAGGGAAAGCTCTGACTCATCGTAAACACAAGTCTCTTGGGAAACTGGAGCTGACATTTCACAAGACAGTAAACCGAAAACCAGGTGGCACTGGGTTAGGAGACCGGCTTGAACTCAGGAGCAATCACAGTGAAATGCTACTATAACTCAACAATTCCCCCAGAGATCTGCTCATCTAAAAACCATGAATGTGTAAAAATCAGTAGTACAAATTCTCTAAACACTAGAAAAGCCCTCTGAGAAGTTCATATTCTATGGCACTTTACATCGTGTCTTCCCTTTTCTCTAAAAATACAAAATCATTTGTACCCCAGGGAAAAATCTATGACATAGGTCAGTTCTTTGGAAAGAAAAGACCTTTTGTTTAAAGAAGATACTTAAGGCCTAATCACCAGGAGCGGACACATGCAGACAGTGGCCCCCTTGACACACATGCGCTACCCTATCTGTCTCATACCACACACACAAAGATCAAATTGAGAAACACCCTGGAGCACACAGATAATAGCATTTATTCTGGCAAGAAAGGTGCAATTTGCTGCCACAAAGATAACGTATGGCATTTATGGGCAATTTTAATTTGTTATGTTTCAACACAGGCAGGAAGCAGGTTTGCCTTCATAGTTGAAATATGGCTTCATGGTTTTCCAGTACTGGCACATGTTCCTCAGCTAGAAACCAGGCTAGGCGGGTTATACATAAAGATTAGTAACAACTTAAGACCAGATGATAATCTCATATTAAAAGAAGAAACTGTTGCTGTGTTCTTCTCTTGTGACCCCAGGCAGACTGGGAATTAACTTCAACTGGAAGAGGATAGAAAGAAAGCAACTCACACTATGAGTAGAAGTCTCCTACCAACCGCCTTGCCAGCAAGCTGAGTTACAGAAAGACATTGTCAAATGGGAGCTGAAGAAATTTAACGTATCCACTAGACTAGAAAGCCTGTGAATCCCCAATACAGATAAGACACATGGTTCCTCTTACACTATATGCAACTACTGCCACCACCCACCAACTGCCATTTCGTCACCAGAGCTCTGTGACCCAAGAATCCAAGCTGAAGCAAACACACTGTTTTACCAATTCATGACTGGAAAACCCAGTCCAGGGAAAGGCAGAGAAATGGTCTGTGGGATTTCCTGAGGAATCCCTATAGCTACAGGAAAACATGTGTTTAAATAAATAAGATTGTTTCCATGTTTAAAGACAAGGAGACAAGATAATCAAGTTATCTATTACAGCAGGAAATGGTTGACAATTTAGGTGATGCATGAAATGTGTGTTTAACACAGAAGAAATACCCAAAGTGCCAACAACTCAATACATCCAGAAATGTGTATTCTTTGAGGTTAAACAAAGGGCTCCAGCAAGCTTCAGCAAACTCTTAGCTGAAGTCAAAGATGGGACTCAGGTTCTGGAACTAATTTGAAAAAAAAAAACTTATTTATGAGTCTTTTATTTTTTGTTGGTAGCACTGGGATTTGAACAAAGGGCCTTTCACTTGCTAAGCAGGTTCATTTCCACTTGAGCCATATCTGCCCCTCTTCTTAATCCCCCATTCCATTTTTGCTTTAGTTTTTATGGTGTTTTTTGTCCAGTCTCATGTTTTAACCTGGGCCAGATACCAAACTGTAATCCTTCTACCTATACTTTCCATCTAGCTGAGTTTACTTGCTTGGTTATTTAGATGGGGCCTCACTAATTTCATGCTGAGGCTCACTTTAAGCTCTGACTCCACCACAGCCGCGATGATAGGCATGAGCACCCAGCCTATACAGCATCTGTTAAGAATTGTTCTGTCTCAGTATTTTTAATTGTGGAGAAAGCCCTTGCAGCAGGACCTTGAGTTCTTCTCCACTCCACCTGGCATTTCTTACCACTTGCCTTTGCTTCTCAACAGAAGACCCAACTATGATTTTGATGACACTGGAGTTCATCCGAGGCAAGCTATGAGAAAGAACATTCAGGGAAGAGCACCCTGAAGAAGACAGGAAGCAAATCTCCCCTGGTTACAGCCATCGTTGTTGCATGAGAAGTGGGGGGCTAGGGTAACAGATAGGGTGGCCCTTGGAACCATGTTAATGTGGTAGGGAATATTACAAGGACAGTGTTACAAAAGTCAGTGGTTACCACATGTTCCATATTCCGAAAGATGAGTTTATCATCAGGGCCTTGTTTGAGGAGTAAAAGTGAGGGAGTGACCAGTTTATGAGCAGCTCCACAGAGCCTAGACCTCTCTGTGGGGAAGCACGGTAGGAAGGGCTGAAGGGTAAAGGCTCTGCAGGCTCGCAGCACAACAGACACAAAAGGGCATGCAAGACACATTAGCCTGGACCCAGCCTGGCCTGACCAGCCTTTTATTGATAGATGAAGACTTAAGAAGGCCTCTGAACCTCTTAGCAGCTTCCTTTGCTTAACAAAGGGGAGAGAAAGGAACAATCTCACAAGTCCCTTCAGTGAACTTGGCCATTCTTATGTGGCCACAAGCAGAACTGAGCAACTTCAGAGGCTTGAGTTGCCTGGAGCAAGACACAAGCAGTAAGCAGCCAGGAAAAAGCTCAGGTAAATCAAACTGGAACATGAGTCCAAGTGATATTGGGGATAGGCAGCAGGGTCCAGCCAAGACACGCACAACCTGGGCCTGTCTTCTCTGTTTAGAAGAGAAGGATCCTAAAGATTCCTTGAGGTATGTGTAATGATCCTGAAAGTATACATTTAATTCAACAGGCCTTCAAGACATGGTTCAAAAAGAATTGTACTGATTCTATCAGCTTCGTGTAGTTGTAACCCCTCTGTATATCAACTATACAATAACAATTTTTTTAAATGGCACCTATCATCAGTTGTAAATAAATACAGTAGTGTTTCCAAGTTCCCAGTAAAACAGGACAGATGTTTAGATTGTGGGAAGCAACTTAAATTAGGAAGTGGAAAGAACCAAGTAGTACAAGGTCTAGTTGGACTGTGAAAAGCCCATCCAAGGTATTCACTTTGCTTAACTGTGAAAGAACTACATGTATGACACCAGAAGAAAAAAATAAAAGCAAGAAAAGATATTCCTTTAATTTTACTTCTGCCCAAACAGTATCAAGTTAACTTTTATTTTTATAAAATCACTTAGGAAAAAATTAACAAGTTTGTTGAAGAAAATCAGATTTTTTTAAGACCATTGAACACAAAACAAGCATAATCTTTCAAAGCCAAAGGGAAAGATGTTTGTTTCTTCCTGGTCTTGCCTAACAGAAGACTCTCAACCACTGGGAGATCTCAGCAAAGCAACTTCTGCTGAAACTCACTGAGTAACCCCATGTTGATGATCATCTGCTTGGCTTGGCAAAGGGAAGAGAGAGAGAAGGATGCAGGAGTAGAGGACGAAATCAGGGATCTGGTCCTTTCCCATTCTTCTCTCAGAAATTCCAAAAGCAATGCCCCCAGAGGAAGTGAAGAACGTCATCTGAAGATTCAAAAAAAAAGCACATATTCTCCTCTTTTGAGTCATCTGTAATAACTTCAAGTCTACTTTTCCCAGTTTGCAGTTGTGTCTATGACAATATTACTCTAAATTGTACAAATTCTCCTTCCCTGTCAGAATTATATGCAGGAAATATACTTAGTTACCCAGGAAACCCAAACTTCATCTACTTGATTTCACCTAGTCCCTGTCAGTTGGCACCCAAATGCAATTCATCTAAAGTGCTCAGAGTTTGATATACTAATGCACTGGTGTTTTAGACCTGAACTGGATGTGTGCAGTCAAGAACACTAAAAAGTAAACAACTGCATTTCTCTGGGGTTAAGGGGATGGGATGAACACTGGTCTGCATTTCCCCCATGAAAGCTAAGGAACCACTTGTATAAAGAGACAAATAAAGCAGAACCAGAAAAAATTTGGGCACTATTATAATATAGAAAGATTCTTTACTGTATAGAATATGCATGGCAGTGAAAAGACTCAAGCCCCTTGGGGGCATCTTCCAAAAGTTGTGTTGTGTTTTAATACCACTAAAGTGCTGAAATAGTTTCCATTTTCCTTTACCCATTTGAACATTTTGACAGAAGACACCAACCATTCAAAGATGCTCCCTTGGAAACAAGAATCATGTCTGAAAAAGGGATATAAATTCGTAAGGCAGCAAGAAAAACCTTCACTGTTCTTCCCAGAGGAAAGCAAGAATTATTTAAGGAGGCCACCAAGTCTGGAAACCGGGAACATCTTTCAACAAATGGTTTATCGATGCAATGAAAGACAAAGTAACGATACCTTTATTTCTAGACTTTATGGTCACCCTATAGACTACATCTTTGGGCAAGAATAGGGGAATTTTTATATTCCCTTAATCCTACTCAACCTACATATACCTAGTGCAACATTTTCCTCTACCCCACAGGCTCTATCCTCCTCACTATCATCTCTCTGAGTCACTCACAGAAGAAAAACACCATTGGCATCTGTATCTAGCAGCATGTTCAAAATTCATTTTGTCTTGAGTAAAAAAAAAAAAAAAAGAAAAGCTTAACGATTCCATAAGTCCAGTAATTCCATGGAGTCTTATTACTCTTTTTGTATATATGATTATTACTCAACATTTCCATCAGTGAGGATTTCCTGAGGATTCCCCAAGACTTTTGGGACTCTTTCATATAATAAACAGTGAGCCCATGAGTATGACTAGCTATTTAAAGTAAGACCTTCCATGTGGCTCAGTTTCTGGTGTATGAAGAAATTCAATAGAATCCGCTTGTTCTCAGTACATAAAACGAGGAAATTGCAGGGAGGAGGGAAGGTAATGCAATAATCATCTGTATTATTTAGTAGCCTAGTAAGCCAAAAGATAGAGCAGGGACATAAAGCAGGGATGCAGAGATGGTGTTACTCTACTAGGCAGGGGGGAAAAAGGACATGAGGGCACAGTCAGTCAAGGCAGAAGCAGCCACTGGGTATAATTAGCTTCAATTCAATAATTACCGCAGGGTTACACAGCAGAGAACTGAGACAAGCTGGGGCTGGAACCCTGGGTGTCCTCAGGTTTGCTGGTGATATGGTTCGGCAGCTTTTGGAGGAAGGGGAGAACCGCAGGCAACCACCCTCACATGCAGAAAGGCCTTGGTCTCAACAGGGTAGACATTTGAAATCCAGCCTGTATTTGCTTTCTTATGAAGGGCTTGACACATGTACAAAGTCACTTTCTTTTGGAAGGTCCTCTTCATGAACTCCTCACACTGGATAGTTTTCCTATCACCTCACCATTTGGATTAGAACAGATGCTACAAGCTCTCTCAGCTAGCTTCTAATGTGGACACAGCACCGATACTACACACATGATTGTATGAATGATCACGTCTTTCTGATTCTTCCACTGGGCAAGCTCAGTATGCTTGTTTGGACTGAATAGGTGTGATCTTGTTGGAGAAAAGTGAGTAAACGTAAGGCCAGATCTTGTTAGTCTCGGTCCCGGAAAACTGGTGGAGAACTCCTCTGCTCCTGAAAAACAGTCCATCCACAAATTATGTCAGTTTCTTTTTAACAGGTAGTAGGTTAGATGAAGCTCCAGGAAGATCTCATAGTGTCTGTTCCACATCTCTTCAAGTGCCCAATACCCACTTCTAATGTTTAAGTGCTTCTGTTGGGTACATGGAAACATGTATTTGCCAGGATGTGCCTTACGGTCTCCCCTTCGTAGGAGTGACCCCGTAATCAGCCTTAATAACTACTTTTCAAATAATTGGCAAATTTTGCTCCTCAGAAATCCTCTCTCCTTGCAACAATCATGGAACCCAGGATGCATCACAATAAGATCTGAATATCTGAGCTAAAGGTTGGCTAAATGGTGGGGTGGGGGGTCTAATAGTCAAGAAATTGATTATGGAACAATCTATAAACTGCTGTTCTGGATGTCACCAGCATAATTTTCTAAGCTGCATGCTGCTTAGAAACTTTAAGTTTGTTGACAATGCAAAAAAGAAAAATCGAGATTCCTCTCCATCCCCCAGAGCACCAGATTTCTGCCTCTCAACAACAATAACAAACAAACAAACAAACAGCAGGAATTTTTTGCCACTGGGCCTACATGGCCTTGGGTTTGTAACTAGATAGATCAGTCTAGAAGCCACCCAGGTCAGAGCTGCCTAGAGTCCCACAGTCCCCATCTGGCCTAAAACTTTCCTCCCTTTTAAGGCAGAGCTGGGGGTAAGCACATATTCAGCCCTAAGACTCATTTCTAAGAACTGCTCAGTCCTTGTAACCATTTTACTTTATAATCTCAAGTTTACCATTTTAATTTTTCTCTGTTAAACTCCTTACAAACACATCAAAACCACATTTTTTATTTATTTTTTATTTATTTTTTTTTTTGTCGGTCGTGGGGCTTGAACTCTGGGCCTGGGCACTGTCCCTCAGCTCTTCAGCTCAAGGCGAGCGCTCTACCACTTGAGCTACAGCGTCACTTCTGGTTTTCTGGTGGTTTATTGGAGATAGGAGTCTCACGGTCTCTCCTGCCCGGGGTGGCTTTGAACCGCGATCCTCAGATCTCAGCCTCCTGAGTAGCTAGGTGTGAGCCACCAGCGCCCAGCAAAACCACATTTTTTAAATGGAAGAGTTCAAAATATAGATTATCTCAGTTAATTAATTAGAGAAGTAAGAGAGATGGTGGGTATATAATAGCTCTGGGATGTGCCTCATATTCATCTAAGATCCTGCATTCAAAGCCCAGAACTGGAAGAAAAAGAAATAGTCATTCGTAGCTGCAATTTTATATCCAGAACAGACAGAGATGATTGAGTTGAAGACCTTATGTTCTAAAAGTTCCTGAATAAAACACTACATTTTATCTCCCACATATTAACCCTAACATTTCATCTGCCTTTGGGATGGAGGGGTAATGGGCCTCTAAGATTTATCTTGCTTGAAGAAACACTGTTCATCTCAGCCCAATGACTTTCCCAACAGACTCCCAAGTTGGTCCTCTGCCATGAGATTATGGAAGCACACTCACTTGTATAGTTCGATGACTGGTTTTGCTGCATCTTTGTACCGTCTTAGCCTAGCAGCAACGGCTTCAGGTTTATCATCCTCCTGTTGGACTAGTGGTTCCCCAGTGATATCATCAATCCCCTATAAGTAGCAGAGAAACTGGTTAATATGACCAACAATTTGGGCCTTTCCATAGGTCAGACCTTTCCAACCATATGATGGGCAGGCCTGCGATCTCAGTGTGTTAACCTTATTTCCTGAGAGTTGACATTTAAGCTTTAATAACTGTTTACATCTTTCTAAACATGCTCTGGTGCTGTCAATACATGGCACTTTCAGTTACATCTCAATGCCAGGCAACTTCCTCCAGCAGCAGACCTTCAGACAATAGCACTCTGGCCCCTAAACTTTTCCCAAACTACCCTGTCTTCTGAAGCTGGGTCCTTAATATGGAAATTTTTTTTGTGAAAAGACATTTCGCTACAGTCTTCTGCCAGTTTTCAGGTAGTGTCTCTAAAACTTATCTTAGATTATTCAAAGAACTGTTATCAAATAACAACATAGCTTAAAGTATATTAAAATAGGCAGAATACAGCTTAATTTTTCTGTATCTTTGGTCAATCTAGAAAATGTACCTACTTGCCACTAGCAAAATGGACACATCAGAACTTTGCTCCTGTGTCCACAGCCGTTAACCTGCCAGAGGAGACTCACAAGAAATAAATCTGTCAGAAGCAGGCTGGAGCAGAACCAAAAGCCTCCAACAACTCAAATGGCTAATCAGAAACTGACGATAAATTTGAAACACAATGAAATTCCATTACCGGTCAGGCCCTTGGGTATATATGACTTACACTTGTGAGTTACTGTGAGCCACATAATTATCCCACGTGTATTCCATGCTTGTTAGACTCTTCACAGGAGAGATGAGGATGGGAGGTGGCTGTATACCACGTAAGAGTCCCGTACCCCATTCGTTATTTTACTTAGAGGCACAATGTTCAGAATTCACTAAGGATTTCAGAGTAGCAACAAATACCACATGGCTTCTAGAAGGAACAAAATCCCAGGAAGGAATACCACCTTCCGGTGGGGGGAAGGGGCATGGTTGCCTTGGCCTCTTAGCATGTCCAACTGTTGTCTTTGGAAGTAGTATATAATTGCAGCTGTTCATTTAGAGATAACTTCGGAGAGTAACTAACTCAGCAGTAAAGCTTTTCATATTTTTAAGTAATTTTTCCATCAATAGATTTGGACAACACCAAAAGTGAAGTAGAATTTGAATTTTCAGAACTGCTCCCCAATCATTTTATTTTCCTATTGATATAACTTCTTAGGCTAGACATGAAATAGGGACCTAGCCCTGCTTTGCTGCACACCCTATATTCCAGCTACTAGGGGGGGGGATGCAGCAGCTCAAGCAACATGACAAAGTTTAGACGGATCTAATAATGGAACAGAACTATGTGCATTTTTTTCAAAGAAATCTTCAAAAGGAGACAGTGCTTGGACTCATTAGGAACAGTGAAGCTTAACGTAGCCCCATAAAGAAATTTTCTGCAAAAATAAATATTCCATCTATACTCAGGTCTGACCTTTTTCCATTAAGTTTATCCATTAAGACACAATCCCCTTTCATCTCCAAATAATAATAAAAAGTGCCATCTACCACTGAATAGCCACAGTTAAGCACTATGAGATAGAATTTATGTTCTGGTTGAATCTGTATCAGGGAGTTAAATAGTCTTTGAAAGAAACATGAAGCAGAAATGGTCTATGCCAGATGTGTGGCATATAATCCCAGCATTTTGGAGTTTATGAGGCTAACAGCTTAATATTGGGTAGAGTAATTAATTGGAATGCGTGAAGACCCTAGTGTTTTATACTTTTTAATGTGTCTTTAAGCAATGAAGATGTACTTTTAGCAGTCTATTCATAGCCCCTCCTCACTTTCAAATGCTTGCCGTTTTTCTTGTCTAGCTTGTGAAAGCTCTTTGTATGTCTATTCTTACATGTACATGAGGTGGGTTGAAATCCAGGTTATACACTCGTCCACTAGGAGGATGAATCCAACGTCGGCTAAGTCGATCTTTAAGTGTTTCAAATGGAATGTTCAAACTGATCACTAAATCCAGGTCACAGATTCTGTCCAGGGCTTCAGCCTGTACTAATGTCCTCGGAAAACCTAAATGCCAAAACAGAACACTATCAATTGCGAGACACTGACCAATAGTTTTTCAGTGACCAAAAATATTTTCAGTGACAGAATAATCAAATAGACATACAGTTCAAATCTTAGAAGAAATATTCAAAGAAAACATGCTAGATAGCCTCGCTTCTGCTGTGGGAAGGTTCGAAGACTAAGAAGTCATGTGATAAGAGGAGAAAGTACACCGAGCCACACAGGGCTCTTGACCCAGCTTTGCTTTTGACTACCTGTGTAACCTTAGGCTGCATCATCTGACTCTTCTGCTGAAGAAGAGAAAGGAGAAAATCATTTCTGTGTCCTTTTAAATCTATTGATCTGTAAGTTTATTGTTGTTGTTTTGTATATATCATTCTTAAATTTCCACAAATAATCATATATACATACATTAAAGCATAAGGCAGTCAAAGTAAAGTAAATTCTTTTACCTACCTTTGCACGTTAACCAAGGTAGACAGTATGGGTTTTTTTGGTTTGTTTGTTTGTTTTTCCCAGTTGTTGCCTGAACTCTGGGCCTGGGCACTGTCCCTCAGCTCTTCAGCTCAAGGCTGGCTCTCTACCACTTGAGCCAGAGTGCCACTTCCGGCTTTTTTCTTTTTGCTTATGTGGTGCTGAGGAATCGAACCCAGGGCCTCGAGCATGAAAGGCAAGCGCTCTACCGCTGAGCCACCTTCCCAGCCCAGTCTGTAAGACTCTTATCCCCAACAAACTGCAGAAAAAGCTGGAAATGGGGCTGTGGTTCAAGTGGTAGAGCACTAGCCTTGAGCACAGAAAGGTGGACAGGGCCCAGCCTCTGAGTTCAAGCCCCACAACCAGCAATAAATTTAAATAGATAGATAGATAGATAGATAGATAGATAGATAGATAGATAGATAGATAGATAGATAGATAGATACAGTCTCCTCCTGTGTTTTATCAACATTAGCTGCTGCTCTATCAGGAAAACACTATCCTTTGGATAGAGAGTAAGAGCTAAAAAAAAAAAAAACTAAGAAAGAACAAGGAGCTGTAAAAGAGAATGTCACATTATTCACCCCAACAAATGATCAATCGGAGCTGTAAAAGAGAATATCACAATAATCACTCCAACAAATGATCAATCTAATTTCTGTGTGTGGGGAGGGGGTAAAGTGGCCTGCTCAGCTCCAAGTGTTTCTGTCCTGTGAGGCCCTCTGGAGGAAGGAAGCGTGACTGCACACAGAAAGAACTGAATTTCAGCCTACATTCAGGCTTGCATTTCAAAAATGTGTTTCTAGGAGGCTCTCACATTGAGACCTGCTAACGATTACAGAGAGTAAAGCTAATATCTGGGAAGTCCTTTGTTAGGACAAAGGCTAATCATCCTCTCCTCTCACTGCCAGAACAGGATTAAGTTTAGAAATCCATGGAAAAAGACAGAAGCCTGAACATAAGGAAATCTACCATTAAAGACTGATGGTGTTAATACTGTTTAGTTGAAACCAATGTTACAACTTAGAAAAGAAACCAGCAATCCCACTTTTGGGCATTTACCCAAAAGATCACAAACAAGGCCATACTAAAGCTACCAGCACAACTATGTTTATCACAGTATTATTTACAGTAGCTAATATATGGAACCAACCCAGATGCCCCTCAGTAGATGAATGGATCAAGAAAATGTGATATAGATATAGATGAATTTTTATGCCTCCATCAGAAAGAATGACACCTCCCCATTTGTTAGGAAATGGAAAGACTGGGAAAAAATTGTATTAGGTGAAATAAGCCAGGCCCAAAGAAACACAGGTCCCATGGTTTTCCTTATCTGAAATAACTAGTATAGTCTAGGACAAGCAGAAAAGGTCAAAATCTATGTACATATGACCATATAAGAGGATGCAAAGCAAAATGAACCCCAACATAGGGGTTCATTTTATCTTTATTGCTGTTGTTTCTAATGTATTTATAATGTACTATGTGATTTTTTTGTTTCTTTTGTATGTTCTTCCCCCATGATACAGCCCCTGTTTTCACAGTATTTGATTCCAGTGCCTTACATCTTGTATATACATTTTTCTAGTTTGGGGAAGAGAAGGGAAATAACAAAATGCTGAAATAAGGATACAGGTTGACCCATTGGAACAATGAGATGTACAAGACACTGTTGAAAATGAACTTTACAACTTTGCGGGGAGGAGTTGGAGAGGTGGAGAGGGAAGGGATGGAAGGGAAAAAATAAAGGAGGAGGTAACAATGCTTGATAGGAAATATACTCATTACCCTACTCATGTAACTGTAACCCCTCTGAACAGTATCTTTACAATAAAAAATACATACTAAAGAAAGAAAGAAAAGAAAAAAATGATTCACTGAAAAAAAAAGAAAAGAAACAATGACAACAAAGTCCTTCTACAGCTTCATGGTTTCACCCTCTGAAAGAACACAATAAAAATCACCAAGAAGATTAAACACAAACAAACAAGTGATCACAGATGTTCAGAGCCCATCACAGGACTTTACTTAAAGTGGAACATTTAAAAGTAAGTCCAAGCTTTGGGTATTTTTGCAATAAAAGACAATACTTGTATTTTCCCCACTGTTCAGTGACAGTAATAGGAAGAACAATATACTAAAATACTTGTTTATCAGCCTGCATGTACCTGCTCTTCCAAGCAGGTACAAACCACTCTCAACAACAAGTTGTGTTTACTTCAGATCCTGGGAAATCAGTACTGGGAAGGAAGGTTCCCAGCAGAGGCGCATTTTCCAGATGACCTCTCGCTTAGTTCTGTCTGTGCCATTCCTTACATCTAGCAAAAGTGGTACAGGAGGGGAGAAGCCATGGTATATTCATGTGGACAGTTACCAGAAGGCACTGTGCACCTGTCACTGTTTTGAAAGTGAGAAAAGCAGCCCTGCCCCTAGGTCAGACACACAGATTTCAGCACACAATGTTAGCTATTGGTGCAGGCTTTGGGACCAGACACTTGCAAATTCCAGTGCCCACTCTATCTAGCCCAACTGTAAGAACTGCAAGTTTTATCTTGATCAAGTGTGCTTTGGGTGTAAACTAAGGGCTACATACACAGGCTACACACACAGGGGGGTGGCTTAAGCAATACTACTTTGTGTGTGTGTGCGCATGCACGTGCGTGCACATGCACGCACACGCATGCTGGCCCTGAAGCTTTAACTCTGGGCTTGGGTACTGTCCCTCAGCAGCTTTGCTTCAAGGCTAGCACTTTACCACTTGAGCCACAGTGCCACTTCGGCTTTTCCTGAGTAGTTGATTGGAGATGAGTCTTGAAGACTTTCCAGCCCATGCTGGCTTCAAAGTACAATCCTTCCATCTCAGCCGCCTGGGTAGTGAGGATTACAGGCATGAGCCAGCAGTGACATGGATGGGGAAAGAGTTTGTTTCTTCCAAAGCCTCTCTGCCTGCCTTTTCTGCAGAACACTGTCTTCTCTTTTTCACATGCTCTTCTCTCCTTCGCATGCTATTTTCCAGTTTTTCTCATGAGGACATCAGTTATAATGATCTCATTGTGACCTAGTTAGCTCTTGAGAGATATCCCTAAATTCGGTCAATGGGGATTAAGACATATACAAATGAAGGGAAGTCCCATTCCAGAGCACAAGAAAGGGCAGTAGACACGTGATCTACAGTGAGTACTGGGTAGTGTACTCTGAGAACACCTAATAGAACCTTCTGGAAACTCTAACTGGAACAAAACCAGCAGGAAGAAAAGATTCTTATTTGATTCCTTTTATGAGATCTTTTCTTAAGTGTATGGGGAAAGCTGGTACCCCAGACTTTTGGAATATATTCACAGCTCAGCGTTTTAACTATGGATGGCAGAGTCCCAGTTCTGGTGCCCATCCACTCTCCAGGAGTTCAACTTGGGCAGACATAGAACCTGAGCACGGCCTAGAAGCTACTTTCGCAAACTTCTCTCTCTGGATCCCAATCTGCCTTTCATCACCTGCCTCATTTTAACAGTAAAGCTCCTTCATCTATTTCCCTGATCCAGTTCAATACTTCATTATGAGAGCTTTTATTTGGGTCATAGGCTGATCGATCCAACAGTGAGACTCAGCTGGTTTGTATGAGTAAATGGCAAGGCAGCAGCATGACATGGAAGCCCAGGGAAACAACGATGTTGTTTTCCAAAAGCTAAACCCAGAAAGGTCCACAGCCTTACAATATCTTCCATTAGTACATGTTCCATTCTTGGATGCATTCATACAGATTACTCTTGCCTTGGGAGCCAGTGAACCCGTGGGCTCTCTTTCCTTGAGATTCTTAAAATGGGAGTCTTCACCAGGCACCAGTAGCTCCTATCTGTAATCCTAGCTACTCAAGAGGTTGAGTTCTGAGGATCAAAATTCAAAGTCAGACCAAGCAGGAAAAGTCTGTGAGACTTTTATCTCCAATGAAACACCAAAAAGTCACAAGTAGAGCTGTGGCTCAAGCGGTACAGTGCTAGCCTTGAGCACAAAAACTCAGGGCCAGCACCCAGACCCTAAGTTCAAGCCCCAGAACTGGATGGATGGACAGATAGATAATAGATAGATAAATAGATAAGAGACAGATAGATACAGAGGTGAAGAGATAGAGATAGATACAGAGATACAGAGATAGAGATGTACAGATACAGAGAGAGATACACAGATATAGAGCTAGAGCTAGAGATATGGAGGTACAGGGATATAGAGACAGATTCAGAGATACAGAGATATAGAGATTCAGAGATAGACATTAATTTCTATCTATGAGTCTTATCTAGCCTACTGATCCTGACTTTGAGGCCTAGAGAACAAATAACATCATGAATTGTGGATTTTTATGTAAGACAGCACAATAGCTTTAGCATTCTTTAAATTGATTACATTTAATGTAATGAATGTCAGAAAAGCTATCACACTAACACTTTAAACTGTTTGTAGCATCATTATCTAGACATTGTAATTTTTCCCTCATATTGGGGTTTTTTGTTTTGTTTTGTTTTGGGTCCAGT